TTAAAAAATCAAAAATAAAATATAAAATTATAAGTAATAAATTCAGTAAAAAAGGAACTAAAATCTTAAATTAGAATTAAATATCTAATCCCGAAAATCTATTTACATAAATTTTATCAAATGGCACTGACCATCATTTATGACGACGATGTCAAAACAAAATATAAGATTGTCATATAATGATTTTTAATTTTGAAGTTTTAAATTTTATTTTAGATTTTAATTTTTTTAAAATTTAAAATGAATTAGATTTTTAATTTCAAAATAGAATTTTTAAGTTTATAATATCTTTTATGATTTTTTATTTTTTTATATTTTACAAACATTTTATTTTATTTTATCTATTTTACAAAATTTTATTTTACTTTTATGTTTGAAATTTTAATTTATAAATTTAAAATAAAGATTTAGATTTTGAATTTTAAAATAAAATTTGTAAGTTTGTAATATATTTTATCATTTTTTATTTTATATACTTTAAGAAATATTTTATTTTATATTTCTATTTTACTTTTAATTTATAAATTTTAAATGAGTTTTTATATTTTCTTATATTCAAAATAGAATTTTAACTTTTTAATATGTTTATCATTTTTTAGTTTCTATATTTTTAAAAAATATTTTATTTTACTTTTATGTTTGAAATTTTAATTTTTAAATTTTTTGAACAAAAAAATTATTTTATTTTTTTTCCAAAAAAAATCACCACGGATTAGTTAGTTAGTAGATCTTTCGCTCTATCTTTATAAATAAAGTACACTTATCTGCTTGCTTAGGCTGTCCAACTCAGCAAGGAAGAGTGGGGGTTTGCTGACACGTCATCATCCCAAAAAGTCACGAAATTATAGGTTCTCTGTGTTCGGTGAGCTTTAATATTATGCAATTGGTTCTCAATTTTGTATGGGCTTTAAGGAAAAACTAAAAGTCCATATAAATTAGGTTTCATTGTCTTCTCAGTTCTCCCCTTTGATGTTCTCTGGAACTTAAGCATCTATCAACTAACCGTAACGCTTCCTGTCTCCTCTGCATCTGGGAGGCTAGGAATGCAAGAAAGGTGGAAAGCTTATGGGGATCAATATAATTCTGGTAGATGAGAAGGTAAATGGGCTCTTCCGAATCGATTGTTTTTTAAAATTATTGTAGTTTTGCTTCCAACATTATGTTCTTTTTTTATCGATCGAGAAGTCACTAAATCTTTTGTTACTTTCTCTTACTGTAATAGATAATTGTGTTTATAACGTCTTTTTTAAACAGTCCATCGGAGGATCAATTAGCGTCCACCGCATTGAACACTTTCCAACGACTCAGAGAGGGAGGTAGTTATCAGCTGAGTTCATTTGATGTGACAAAGAGCAATCAGTACTCTCAAAGAAGGAGGTAGTCATTGTTATATCCACTCTTTGATTTGTGTCTCAGTGTTCTGTTCTGGTATTTTTTTCCTCTCTTTCTTAACACTCATTCGGCATACAGTTATGAATGATTTCTAATGTTTTCTTTACAGCCAAAAAATCATAGCAAGCTCAAGCTCGGCTTTTACAAGGGTACTATGTTTGTTGGTGCTTCCTTATATTGGTTCTTTTTCTTCATGATCACTTGTGAGTTTCAAATATAGATGAGTGTTGACTAAAGTTTTTGTTTTCCACTTTTGTTGTGCAGTTTACCTAGACGGACTTAGCTGAAGCTATTGGTACTTCCCTCCTTCAGTCAGTAGGTGGTCCCATGTCTATGGACATGTTTATTAAAGGTGTGTACGCATCTCTGCACTGCAAGTATGAGCTTTTTCTGAAGAAGTATTAGCAATGGGTCTTCTCGAAGACAGTCCTTGGAAGAGCTGATATAATACCCAAACTGAATGGCTTCTTCACCACTTACTTTCCTTTGGAGGCCACTAGAGCTTTTTTAAGTTAAGTTTTTCATTTTGTTTTATGTGGTTGACATATGCCTAGATTTATCTCTCTCTCTCTAGCAAAATTATTGATTTAGTTGATTTGTTACATTTAACGATTCATGTGGCTTTTTATAAAGATTTGTTGCATTTTACAAATTTATTTATTTTTTGGTTTCTTTTTTTGTGTACATTCTCAGTATGATTTTCTTCATTTTTGATTAATGCTGGTTTGTATTGTGTTCTTTGTGTTGCAGTTTTAGTAACGTCGAGAATCTGTATCCTATAAATATAGCTAACGAATTCCCCAAATATCACTGCTTCATCCAAATCATTCTTTTCTCCTCCTTTCAAACCTTGGAACTATGAAGAGACATGGAGATTCCCTCTAACATGGAGTTGATGCAACCAAATTGCAGTTACATTATTTCATCATCTTAACTGCAGAAGATTCAACCGAATCATTTCAACTCCCCTCACGCCGTCTTCCAGGGCAAAGAGACTGATTAAGGTCTGACAGAGTAAATGCATGTTTAGCATTACTGGCGCTCTACTGTTGTGTCGTCTCGCATATGATTTTTGAACACTGGCCGCTACTGCAGGTAGGGTCTATTATTATATTACATGTTCTTTGTGTGTTTGTTGTAGGAAGCATATAGACCTGGTTTTCGGATTTCTTAATGGTGCCAGCCATATGGTAAGAGGTGATGGAGGAATTCATGTCTCTGACAAGGAAAAGTCACGCTTGATATTTTTAACAGGAAAACACAGAGTATGCTAACACAGTTTTAACCGGAAAAGACAGTGTATGCTATACGGACTAGCTATCCTCATCGGTACAGTGGAGAATCACAAGAAAGTCGCCATCTGCTTCGTCAAGGCTTTCCGGTTCAAGATAGGGACTAATCATTCTTGGAACGCTCTAAACGTTTAAGTAAATCGATATGAAAAACTTACAGGTCATTGATAGTCAAAGAACTTCCCAGGATAACTTAGATGGAAACGAGCAAGGGAGACAAATAGATTGGTTAGTACATTAAATGGTTTCAACATAGGCAATTATTTGTATACAAGACTTATATGAAAAACAAAACACTTTTTTAAATGCACATTTTACGTTATTCAATAAATCTTGCAGGCTATTTGATTACCAAAAAGTTAGAAAGTCTTAACATGGTTTAGTAATATGCCCACTTGGACCCTGAAGTCTACCCTGATGCAAGAAAATTTGATCTTTCTGTATGGGATGTAAATTAGATTTCTCATCTTCCGTTGTTTGTTTGGAACAATGTTTGTTTGTGGCAAAAACGAACATACTACGGTTGTATTTTTTCATACGGTCTTTGTACCTAAAGCAGGTGCCCTCCTTAGTTTCGGTGCTGGAAGCCCATGAAATGATCTCCCTAAGCTTGAGATTCGAATCTTTATCATTTGTTCAAAAATAAAAAATAAAAACTATCTTTGAAATGTACTTTCTGCATTATGCTTAAAAGAGTCATGGATATATTGATGTTTTAAACTTCATTTAACTATATATTATATTCCATGAATATATAGTTCTTTCTCTTGTCATTTGGTATTTAATGTTGTAAAATGTTATTTATCTTGGGTGTTTCGTCAATGGCTGTTTTAAAAGCAATTACTTGATTATATAGTTACCTTACTATATTTACAAAACCTTAATCCGAAAAAGAAATATGTTTTTAGCACGTCATATACATTTTGATGGATATAATATAACAAAAGCTTATGATAAAAAAAGCTAATAATCATTCATAAAAAATAACTAAAATAGAAAATCATAATTATTGAATTTATTATTTTTCCTATTGTTTAATAGAAAATTTTAATTTAAAAGATTATTTTTATGAAATCATTCGTTAAGTAAAAATTGCGTAATTTATGGTAACAAATTTTTACATTGATTTAAATTAATTATCTTAATGAAACAAAAAATACTCAAATATGGAAGTAATTCGATTTGTATATTTATATAATTAAAGTCAAAAGTTTTTGTATATGATTATATACTTATCAAAATAGTAAAATTCTTCAGTTAATTATTTCACATTGATTTTAAAATTTTAGTTTCTTTATAATACAAAGGGTTTAATACATCCTTTTAAAATCTAAAATATTTTATAATACACAACTTTAGAGTATTGGTGATTTGAAGAGTATTTTTTGTTTTGATTGATCACTTCCAAAATATAAAATCAATTATTACAAATTCTCAGCAAAACAACAAAAACTAATACCTAAATAAAGTTACAAAATATTTTATGTGAAGATTGATACGACCTTCATGCATATTTTAAATTTTAGTAACTATTTCATTTATCTAAATCTCAAAATCAATGATGTAAGAAGTAAAACTAAAATTAAAGAACTTATAGTTTTGACAAATATTTTTTCAAATGATAATAAATTTGATAAATTCACTAAAATATATTTTAATATCTAAACTATGTATTTAAATTATTATAAAAAATCCGGCGCGTAGCGCCGGCCAACCACTAGTTAGTAATTATAGTTCGGTTTTCAAGTTCGGGTGTGTTACTTTTTATCTTTGGATTTTTGTTTTAAAAAAAAACTGTTTTTTTAATTTTATTTTTTACGTTTAAGAATATTTCAAGTTTCAAAATGAATTTTTAGATTATTAAATTTCAGAACAAAACTTGGAAATTTGTACTATTTTTATCATTTTGTACATATATTTAAAAAATATTCTCTTTTATTTTTAAGTTTGAAATTAATTTTTTAGATTTTATTTCAGTTTTTTAAAAAGTTTTAAAATATTTTTTATTGAATTTTGTTTCAAAAACAAATCGAGCCATCGTCATTTAACCTACGAAATGAACAATACCGGTTATTTGTTTTATTTGAAGAACCAGTAAATCTCATTAGAGATTTATTAGGATAAAAATGTCACTTCAAAGTGTGATATTTTGAGAGTTAGAAATGCAATTTTCCCTTTAATAATAACAAACCAAAACAATATTAATGAATAATCCATAGAAATCGTTTGTTGTTAATATTTGACCAATCAAAAAGCAAAGAATTTAGCTATAAAAAAAAAGCATATTCTTTTTCCTTTTTTCCCATTTCGTTGTCTTCTGGCATCTGTTGCTATCAATCGCAGATAATAATCCTCAGCCTCTCTGGTTATCTCATCATCATCGATTACCACTCCACACTCTTAATCGGACTTGTCGAGGAAACCCATCCCATGGATCTCTGGACCCTTGACACGGCGATTCGAAACCCAATCTTGTCCTCGGCGATCTCTGAGAAATCGCTCTCAAGGAAATTCGGTTCCGTGGAGATTAGGTTTCTGAAGCGTAAACTTTCCACTTCTGGGCATCGTTCCGTGGTTGTGAGAGCTACGTCGAAGAAGAGTAACGACGATTCTTCTGCTTCTGGTAAGAGGGCTTGACATGATAATTTAGGCATAATGAATGATGTATCAAAAATGGATCTTTCTTGGTGAAAGAGTTTGCTTTGTTCTTTAACTCTGTATACTCTGTTTTGTTGCTTTTATAACATATGAGCTAATTAGAAAAAAAAAAAAAAAAAGTGATTATGTTTGTGAGAGGATCGTTGATTCTCAGGGAGTGATAATATCTCTTTCATAATGATGTTGGATTTGCTTATTGTGAGTCTGTTTTGTTCGTGAAGGAGGAGATGCTTCTCAAGAAAACAAGCCTTCTAATGGCAACAAATCAGGTACTCCAAAGCCGTTTGGTCTTAACACGGACTGGAGAGAGTTCAGAGCAAACTTGTTTATGAAGGAGCAGGTAAAAAGTCTTTGATACTTGGGAAGTTATGTATATATATATACGAGTCAAAAAGGTTTTACGCTTTAAACGACGATGTCTCAGGAAGAAAAAGCAGAAGCTGAGGGTAACAAACCAGCCACAACATCTCCTGATTCTGAACCAAGAGGCCTTAAATGGGCACACCCGATTCCTTTTCCCGAGACTGGCTGTGTTCTAGTTGCCACGGAGAAGCTAGACGGTTACAGAACATTTGCAAGAACCGTTGTGCTTCTCCTTAGAGCAGGAACTAATCACCCACAAGAAGGGCCATTCGGAGTTGTCATCAACCGTCCGCTTCACAAAAACATTAAGCACATGAAATCATCTAAAACCGAGCTCGCTACCACCTTCTCTGAATGTTCCTTGTTCTTTGGTGGGCCTCTTGAAGCCAGCATGTTCCTGTTGAAAACCGGGGATAAAACCAAGATTCCTGGCCTTGAAGAAGTCATGCCTGGGCTTAACTTTGGTGCTCGTAACACTTTGGATGAAGCTGCGGTTCTTGTAAAGAAGGGAATACTTAAGCCACATGATTTTAGATTCTTTGTTGGTTACGCAGGTTGGCATCTAGATCAGCTCAGAGAAGAGATCGAATCGGATTACTGGCATGTCGCTGCGTGCAGCTCGGAGTTATTATGTGGAGTTTCACCGGAAAACTTATGGGAAGAGATTTTACAGTTAATGGGCGGTCAGTACTTAGAGCTCAGCCGGAAACCCAAGCTGGATATGTAGACGTTTATATTTTTAAAATGATGCTAGTTTCTAAGGCTTTTTTATAAAAGCCAAATGTATAGCTTTACTTCACTGTCTTGTATTTGCACTTCTATAGTTATATGCTATCTTATGAGATTTGCTTTCTGAAAACTATGTAATAACTAAAAAAACTTCTATCTATGAATTGAGTTGCACTACTAAACCAGTAGTAGAAAGTGAGAGAACAGAGCAAGAAACAAAAGGTTGTTGTTGCCATGCGCAAAGACCACAAAATAAAAGATCTTTGTAGGCAATCTCCGGCTCAGAAGTTTATGAAATTGTCTTCCAAGTGTCGATTCATTGCTTCACAACGCACATGCTCTCACTGAGATACCTTTGTTCTTCTTTGCTGCAGATTTGTCAAGGCGGGACTTGCGTACAGCTTCTTGGATTCCTCTCTCGTGATCTTTCATCATATCTTCAATGTTACCACCAGGAGGTATCAAAGGACCTGAACAGTGCATTCTGTTCGTCTTGCGGCTATATGCCTGAAAACAACATATCAAGAGAGACATTTCGGAGTTCAAATTTTATGAAAGAGAGAAATTCAGATGAATGAACTCAGGTATTACCGTTGTGGGTACTCTTGAAGGTACATTTTCCTTTTGTGAAGAGCTAGATAAGTAATCTCCCATTGCAACGAGCACATTGTTAGACCGGCTAGCTCTCACCTCTCCTACATTGCTCCTAGAGCTACCATTCTTATTCCATGTCGAGCTTGTGTGGACCATTGAATTGGTATTAGCAAAGCGTTTCCCACTCTCTTTCTTGAATCCAAGAGGAGTGTTGAGTGAGACATTTGAATACCCTGAAGCAAGGAACTCCGGTGTTATCTTGGAGTCTCTTAAACCTCTTCTCACAACAGATTCGTGTCCACGCCACTTCACAGCTTCAGCTTTTTTCCTTCTTACTTCTTCGTTTCGCTTCTTTGCATCAAGTTCCTTGCTTGGAGGATACTTAGGCAAACTTGATATGTGACAAGGGAGTGGCTCCGTTGTAAAAAACTAGAAGAGATAAATCATTTATCAGTGGGGGTGGGCCGGGGAAGGATCATCATCAAGAAAATGAGAGATGATTTACCTCGCTAAGTAGAGTAGAAGAAGCTGAGCATCTTGTCTCTGGTTCTACAGATAGAAGCTTGTCTAGGAGGGCTAAAGAAGATGATGGAAAGTTCTTGAAAGTCTCTTGAAGCACACGCTTGTAAGGATGTTGCGGTCTGTAACTTGTCGCCTGTGGGAATTTTGTTGTCTCCCAGAAATCTTTAGATGCTGAACCACACAGCTTAAAGATCTTATGCATTTGCTCCACCTGCAAGATATTTAAAAAGCTGAGTTTTAAATCAGTGGAATCGATTCAGATACAAACAAACTGAATCAAGAACTCTCTCTCTCTCTCTCTCTCTCTCTCTCTCTCTCTCTCTCTCTCTCTCTCTCTCTCTCTCTCACCTCTGTTCTTCCCGGCATGATTGGTTTTCCTACAAAGAGTTCAGCTAGAATGCAACCAACGCTCCAAAGATCAATGGCGGGTCCATACTCTGTAGATCCAAGTAGAAGCTCAGGGGCTCTATACCATAAGGTGACTACACGGCTGGTGAGCGGTTGATCATGATCTGGATTGTAAAAACTCGCTAGACCAAAATCTCCAATCTTGAGAACCCCATCATTGTTCACCAAAAGATTTGAACCCTTGATGTCACGGTGAAGGATTCCACGGCTATGACAATGTTCAAGTCCACAAAGCAGTTGTTTCATAAAACACTTGATCTAAACACAGATAAGTAACAAATTAAAAAAAAAAAAAAGTTTAGTGAATTTTATTGGCCAGAGAACAACAACGAGGTGAGGTTTTGACGAAAGTAGTACCTGTGGCTCAGTGAATTTGACATCAGGCCTGAGAGAAAGGCCTGAAAGATCATGCTCCATGTACTCAAACACAAGGTGCAAGCTACCTGATAGCTTTGAAGTGACAATACACTGAAGCTTCATAACATTTGGATGGTCTAGTTTTCTCAAAATGTTGATTTCTCTAGCCATGAACCTCACACTCTCTGGATCCATATTAGCAAACCTCACCTTCTTCATCGCCACTATTTGGCCCGTCTCAAGATCCCTGGCCTTATACACAACGCTGTACGTCCCTTGTCCTATCTAGAAAAAAAAAACAATATCATTACAAAACACTAAAATAAATCCAAATGTATAATTAAGACAAATGAAAAGTTTAAAGGAGACCAACTTTGTCAAGCTTCTGAAACGAATCCGCACGACGAGGAACCCAACCTTTAATAGCTTCACCTGCAACAGAGGTTAACCAATAAGGCCATCCAGCAGCAATAAGCTCTGCTTCTGCGCTACGAGGAACATTCGAAATAATCAATCCTTCCCCTTTGCCATTGTCTGAGACTTTTCTTCCTCGATGAGACCTTGAAGGTCTGTCTACAATAACTGTTTTACCATCATGACTATCATCTAGAGGAACAATCAAACCGCTCGCTCTTCTTCCACCACCGGAGCTTCCATCCACGGCTTTATGAGAAAAGTCGTCTTTGTTTGAACGATCAACCAGTTGCCGCCTTGAGGAAGATTTGTTCCAGTTTCCTTTCTGACGATGAAAAGCAACGTTGTCTTCTTTTTCTTCTGCTCCTTTTGAGCAAATGCAGCCCATAATAGTTAACCTGCCTTCTTTCACACAATCTCCTACTCTATAATGATTTAGCTATTACACCAACAATGCATCTATCACCAGGAGAGATTCAGGGAGATAGATGTATGCAAATCTAAGTTTTTGCAGTCAGAAACCAAAAGGGTTTCTTCTAAACCCCAAAATGATTGTGAAGAGTTTTGCAAATACGAAAGAAACAAAGACAGAAGGGTTTTAAGATTCAAGAGAAAACAGGTTTGTGTTCTTACATAATCGTTTTTTCTTTTTGCAACAGCAGCTTGTTGAAAACTGAAAATAGGGGAAAATAAGGAAAAGGAGATATTGTGATTAGAGAAAGATGGAAAGCAAAATGATTCGAGATATGGTTTGAATGAGTAAAATCAGGGAAGCCCTTGATTCTTGGGACATAAACAAAATCACTAGAATAGTTCTTTCCTTTTTTCTCTTTCTGTAGAAATAGTCCAGAAACCGTTTTGCATGAAGTTGAGATAGGCTGGTATCATCTTCTCGTATTTTGATTGCTGACATGTGGTATCTACTCTATTAAAATAGAGTCACTATTTTTATCTACTATAAAGAAGTCATATATGACCATTTCATTTATTACTTAGTATGACATATTAAATTATTTAAGTTAATTAATCAAATATATATCATATATGCTGAAAATAATAGATTTACATTCTATTTTTAGTTATAACAGAATCGGTTGAGAAAAATCTAACAAAATCTTACTAAAAATTTAAATATTTTATTATTAAATAACATAACAATGAATTTCGTAATTAATAATATCATACTATTATAAATTAATATTAATTAAAATTTCACTATAATAACAAAAAAAAGAATCCTATACTATTTTATAAATTTCAAAGTAAAAAATTAAAGAATATTATATATTAATAATGTTGAATAAAAACCTACACCAATTAGATTATAAATTTACACAATATATAACACAAAAATATAAATTATATATTTCAAATATTTACATTAATATTAAATATATTTTTAAAAATGAAAAATATATCCGCACGACGTGCGGGTAAAAACTCTAGTGAATGATTAAGTTTGAGTTAAAAGTATACAACAAAAATATTACCAATCATGATTTGCTTTTAACTTTTCGAGTATTGATTTGAAATGTGTTATACTTAATTTATAATTGTGAGTTATCAATTTAGTAAAATTGGTACCTCAAGTGATTACTCAACATCAATAAAAAAATACAATATTTTAAGGTTTGAGTTAATAGTTTTATTTTCCAACTAATTAACTCACGTTCATGTTTTACCATTTAAACAAATTAACCTTTTAAATACTAAATTTTATAATATGTATGTTTAAAATTTTCTTATAATTTTAATTATTAATTCTATTCGTGATTAAAATTCTTATATACATAAAATTATTTATATGCACAGGAGCCTTTTATAATATATAATACAGATTTAATTATTTTCATTAATTTTATACATATGTAATTAAATTTTTAATAAATGACATGATCTGGAATGAAAATTTATAATTTTTTGAGGGAGTTTCATTTTTATCTTTTATTTAGTATCGTTATTCATATTTAACGGCTATAAATGGTCATTTTAAAAAATACCAAAATATGAGGTTTCATTGTAGAGACAAAAGAAAATTATATTCTTACATTATAAAGATAAATAGTTATTTAGATGAAATAAAATAAAGCAATGAAAATTTCTACATTTTTTACAAAAAAAATTTGAATTTTTATAATTTAATTTTACTTTTTCAAATTTCCGTTTTGAAATTCAAAAAATTCCTTTGAAACTATTTAAAAATATTTATTTTAAGTATTTATTTATATACTTATTAAGATTCTGAATTTCATCCTCCAAAACTCAATCCCTCAAATGAGTCAAATGTAAAACATAAGTCTAGATTAATTAATTTAAAGTTTATGATATTATTTCCATTGTATTTAATTTATTGTATTATTGATACTGAATCAATAGTATTATTAGTGATTATGATATTAAAATATAATATATAATGAAAATTATTTTTTCAAAGTTATACTTTTAAAATAATTTTTTTTTTAATATATTTGAATGGTGTAATTGTTTTTAGTAAATATTTTACTATTTATATGTTTTATATTTAATTATTTTATTAAAAATCTATACTTCAACTTATACACCAAAAAAGTTACCAGTCATAAGTTTTTATAAAATGATAACTCTTATTTTTCTGCAAATTTTCCACATAAACTTAGTATTTCTACAATAATGATAAAGTCAATCGTGCTAGCCTCCTAACGTATGTTATGTCTTGCTTTTTGCTCCCATTGGAGATATGTGATGCCCTGGCTAGTGTCATTGCACAGTTTTGGTGGAGTTCAAACCCACCAAAGAGAGGCTTACACTGGACAACATGTGATAAGTTATGTCTATCTAAAGAGGAAGGAGGAATTGACTTCAGGATGATCCATGAGTTTAACCTGGCGTTACTAGCAAAGCAGTTGTGGAGATTGGCCCAAAATCCAGATTCCTTGGTAGCTCGTGTTATGAGAGGGCGATATTATCGACTAAGTTCGCCGTTGCGAAAGCTCACTGTTAATAGCCCATCATATGTGTGGACAAGTATCTCGGCTGCACGAGAATTACTGCTATTGGGGGTTAGACAGAAAATTCATTCAGGTTATGAAGTAAAGGTATGGGAGGACCCATGGATTCCCACAATCCCAGCGAGACCAGCGCATGCATCTACTCCGGTTCTGCATCCGAACATGAGAGTGAGTGATCTTATCAATCAAGAAACTAAGTCTTGGGATCTGGAGCGGTTGGCAAATTATGTTGAAGCTGCTGATATACCTCTCATAAGGAGTATGGCACTTAGGTCAACCCATTGCAGAGACGCATACTGCTGGAGCTATACAAGGAGTGGACAGTACACAGTCAAGTCCGGCTACTGGTTAGCTAGGAATATACTAATGAAGGAGGAAGAGAATATGGTAGATGAACCTAGCATCAAAAGGCTTCAAACACAGGTATGGAAGGTTAAAGCACCTCCGAAGATGTGCCATCTTATGTGGCAGATTATTTCGGGGCAGGTGGCTGTTACGAGTGCGCTGAACCATAGACACATGAGATGCGGTAATTTCTGCCCACGATGCGGAGAACCAGAGGAAACAATTGCACATGCAATTTTTCAATGCCCACCGGCTTTACAGGTATGGGCCTTAGCATCTATACCCACCAGTTCGACTTTATTTCCTTTGGAGAGCACTTATGCGAATATGGATTATCTATTCTGGCGGAAGAAGGCCATTTGTGGGCCAGAATTAGACAAGGATCCTTATCCTTGGTTAATATGGTACATTTGCAAGGCTCGGAATGATAAGTTGTTCAGAGGAATATACAGAGACCCTTTGGAATTGTCCCGGTATGCAGAGAGTGAGTGTCTTGCCTGGTTCCAAGCTAATGAGAAGGAAGTTGAGATTACACAAGAGAACGGCGATATTGAATGTCAGACCGTAAGTCTACAAGACATCTGCATGATAGACGGTTCTTGGACCTCTATAGACAAATTCTTTGGTTGTGGTTGGGACTGAAAGGATAGCATGGGAAATAGCCAGTTGATGGGGATGCGTAATGTGAGCAGAGTGACTCGGCTTTGCATTCTGAGCTGGAAGCGCTGCGGTGGGCAATGGAGAACATGCTTCAACATTCGCCATGTCAGAACTTTGGGACGGACTGTAAGGAATTGTTAGCAATGCTCAGGGATCCCCATGGATGGCCAAGCTTTTCGACGGAACTGGAGAGGATCTTGACGCTGAGGATTTGTTTCCCAGACTTTAAGATTTCTTATGTACCTCGATCTCTAAATGTTGTGTCCGATCATTTAGCTAAGGCTGCCCGATCCTTTTATCGGGATCTCATATATGTTGGTTGTTCTATTCCGGTCTGGATTCCCAGACCACCTCAAGCTTGAGTAATAGATCAGCCGTTCGTTGTCAAAAAAAAAAAAAACTTAGTATTTCTACTACATAATTTTTACTGCAAATTACATCAAATTATAAGTCATATTGCAGATCAACTTTAATACAACATGTCACCAACTGGAGAGCATGCATAAATTTTAATGCTTTGCTTAGTAAATAGATGATCTTATTCGTCCTATAATATTTTTTAAAATTTCTAGTCTTTCAGTACATTATTTGCAAAGTGATTTTGACACTTATTTTGTTTATAATCATTTTTCATTAAAAAAAAGGTGACATAGCATGTTAGAAATGTGACATAGCATAAAGATAAATGTTACATAGATAATCCCCTAACAATCATTTACAAAGTGATTTTGACACATATATTCTATACAATTATTTTTACTAAAAAAGGTAATATGGCTTACTAAAAATGTTGACATGACTTAAGGTTAAATATGATATGTACAATTACATTTAATGTTGATTTGTATTTTTGTAAACTTTCTAAAATATGTCAATAACTCATACATCATTATTGTTATTATTATTATTTGTTTTTGTCATCAAAATACATACTCAACTAAGACTCTGTGAACCATAATGGTAACTCGGCATCCATATGAACGACGAAGGACTGCTGCTTCCGAGCACTGCGTGCTAGACCATCTGCTCTTGTATTATTTGTTCGGTGTACATATATGACGGCAAAGTAGTGAAAATTCACCTTCAATCACCTGATATCTTCCAGGTATGTTGCAAACGCGGGCCATTCCTCTGGTTCCGAAACCATCTTCACCACTTGGGAACAATCCGTTGCAAACGTCACATGAAACTGTCGTAAGTTCCGCATACTTTCCTTTACCCAAATAAGCGCCTCTAATTCAGAATGGAGGGGGTGAGAGACTAGTTCTCGTGTTCCTTACTCCCATCAGACTATCAAAACATTCCAAAGTGCTATACTATCATTGTCCCGAAAATCGATCCTCGGCTTTCCACATCTTTGAACTCCAAACCACCCTACTCTTTGGTGAGACATAAT